TCCTCTTGGGATCTTGGGCACGCACGCACACGCGCCCAGTGTGAGTTTAAGCCACGGGGTCCGGGACGCGAACTGCGGTCGACTATGTGGGAGTCCAGCGACATAGCCATTACACTAACTGCTGGTCCCAGCAGCAGGAGTCTTAAAGCACTGTTTCCTGGGTGCTTCCTGAGTCTCTGGGCTTTCATCCTTGCTTTGTGGCATCCCTTCATTACTGCTCCTGACCACTGTGATGTCCTGGCTGCTCTTCCTGGGGACCACTTCCAGGCCCGTTTCTTTCCCTTTTTTTTGCCATCTCCTGTGGGTGTGAGCGATAGAGCCAGATTCCAGCCTGCAGTTCTTCCTGGTGCATCCTGGGTGCTGTCCGAAGACTAATTTTTCCTATAAGCATCTTTTCTCCTTTTCCTCTGCTGCTCAGTAATCTTCTGTGTTCAGTATAGACTACATAACTGGTTTTTGTTTTTGCCCTTTTTTTTGTATGCACTAGTCAGAGAGAGGAAGTAAGAAATCACCCCTTCCCCCCGTAGGGTATGGCCATGCAGCAGTCGCTTCTCCATTTTCCTGCTGGGATTTTGGGTACAGATGCACATGTGCCCAGCATGTTTTTCAAGCCACTGGGTCTGGGATTCACACTGTGAAGTCGACCATGTGGGACCTAGCTGCCTTAACTACACCACCAGCTGGCCCCAAGACTACATAAATTAAAAAAAAAAAAAAATGCAGGCCAGCCTATGGCATGGTGGTTAAGGTACTGGACTCCTTTTTCTTTGGAGAAGTTTTTGCTATAGAGTGTGTGCACTTGCCAAAAAGAGCAACAGAGAGACAGAAAGTGAGATATCACCCCCCTCCCCAGGGAAATGGCCATGCCACAATCCCTTCTCCATTGTCCTCTCGGGATCTTGGGCACACATGCACACGTGCCCGGTGTGAGTTTAAGCCATTGGATCTGGGACTTGAACCGCGGTCGACTACATGGAAGTCCAGTGACATAGCCATTATGCCAACTGCTGGTCCTGGTTTTGGACTCCTACATGGCCAACTGTGGTTTGAGTCCCAGACATGGCAGCTTGAAAATCACACAGGGTGTGTGCAAAATCCTGAGAAGAGAATGGAGTTGAAGATATTTCAGTTTGGCCATCTCCCTGGGGCCTGATTTCTCACTTCATCTCTCACTGTCTATCTCTGTCTCTCTGGTGAGCTCACATGTCCTATGGCAAAATCCTCAAAAAAAAAAAAAATTGCTGGGGCTGGCAGGTGACACAGTGTTTAAGGTGCTGGACTCTCACCTGGCTGATTGTGGTTTGAATCCCGGACCAGACGACTTGCTTTCTCACTTTCCATTTCTCTCTGTCTGTCTTTTCTTTAGTCAAATAACAATAATAGTAATAAATAAATAATTCTTT